TATCTGGGAGACCCGGGTTCGATTCCCGGCTGGGTGAAACGGAAATTTTTTCTCTCTGAATTCTAATACTCTTGGAATTTTTTTTTCCAAAAAAAAAAATTCTAAGCTCCATTCTGTAATTCTGGAGCTCCATTACTTTAGTGAGCAGCACCTTTGCAACGGGGACCTGCTCATGGAGAGTAATTGATATCTACACAGCAAGCTATCACCGTGCGATAGTCTGGGAGGCACGTACTCGCCACAGAGTCACCATAACTCCTAAGAAAATCAACTGCATTGGCTGGACAGTGAGAACTTTCCATCCTAGCTCTTATTCGATTGCACTGGACGATCAGTGGCAGCAATGCTACTGAAAAGGCAGATAACATCATAAAGAGACTGACAGAAGCCTGCGATGCCACCATGAACAGAAAGCGTACCACAAAGCTGCATCCACCGGTGTATTAGTGGAATGACACGATAGCCACCTTACGGAAAGAGTATAACGTAGCCAGAAGATTGTCCCAGTGTTGCCGTAAGAAATCTAACTTTGAGGAGTTGGAAATGCGGTATAAAGAGGCACGCCGGAAACTCAGCAAAGCTATCAAGTGCAGTAAGAAGCAAAACGGGAGTGAGCTTCTTGCTGAGGTGGAAGGCGATCCATGAGGTAGACCATACAAGGTGGTGATGACACGCCTCAAAATTCAACCAATGCCGTCGCCAACGTGCCCTGTGCTTATGAAGAAAATCGTCGCGGCGTTGTTTCCGCAACAATCAACACTCCATTGTATCGGTGAACAATGAGAAGAGATGATGGTCCCACCAATCACCAAAGAAGAGTTGATGGAAGCTTGCAGTAGAGTGAGAAACACCAAGGCCTCTTGTCTAGATGGGATCCCCAATATCGCACTGAAGTCAACCATTCACACGATACCAGAGCTGTTCTTGGGCGTATACAATGAGTACCTCAGGGAGGGTACCTTCCTTGCCATGTGAATGCAGCGAAGACTAGTACTACACCCAAATGGGAAAAAACCACCAGACAACCCGTCATCATACCGTCCTCTCTGCATGCTTGATAACGCTGGCAAGATCCTCGAACGTATAGTCCATCAAAGGATAGAAACCGCAATCGAAACTCTGTTGGCGGACAATCAATATGGGTTGCGGAAAGGTCGATCCACGCTGGATGCTATCAACCTCGTCGTTGCCACTGTCCGGCATCCAATCTTGGAGAAAAAATGGCTTAATGGCACGAAGAAGTATGCTTGGTAGCAACTCTAGACATTAAGAATGCTTTCAACTCGGCCAGGTGGGACCGTATCATGGAGATTCTTGTGAAGTTCAGCGTACCGAGAGATTTACGGAGATTGGTCAGCAGCTATTTTGCGGGAAGGGTTCTCAAGTATGCACACGGAGGTTGGACCTGAAGCGTACAAAGTTACCGGAGGAGTAATTCAAGGCTTGATATTGGGTCCCCTGCTGTATAACATCATATACGTCGGGCTCCTGAAGCTCGGATTGCCGCCGGAAACTAAACTCGTGGCTTTTGTAGATGACGTGGCTGTAATCATCATAGGAAAATATCTGGAGAAGATCAACTACATTTCCGATACGACGTTCGAGACGATCCGCCATTGGATAGACGCAGTTGGTTTGAAACTGGCGGAGCACAAGACAGAGGCCGTGCTGATCACCAGCAGGAAGAAAATCGAGACAATAACGCTGCAGGTCGGGTCCTGCAAAATTATTTCTGAGCCGTTCACCCGATACCTGAGGGTGATGATCGATGCCCGACTCAATTTCAAGCAGCAAACCGAGCCTCGGCTGCTAAGGCGTTTGGAGTAAGATCCACCTTATCGCGCCTCATGCCGAATATCGGAGGTCCTAAAGAAAGAAGACGAGCGCTGCTGTCATCGGTGGTCACGTCAGTGCTCACCTACGGCATTTCCATCTAGGCTGATGCACTGCAGTTGTAGGAATCACGGCGAAAGGTTGCAGCAGTCTATCGACTGAGTGCTCTGCGAGTTGCGAGCGCATACCGCACGATGTCCGAGGACGCAGTGTGCATCATCGCCGGAATGCTACCGATAGAAGTTCTGGCCGAGAAATGAAGATCTCTGTATCGCCGGAAGAAATCGGAAACGCTAAGCACATCAGAACTCAGCGCAGACGTTCGGCGAAAGAGCCTACAACGATAGCAGATAGAGTGGGACACCTCTACCAAAGGAAGATGGACTCATCGTTTGATACCACAAGTGACGGTTTGGGTAAGCCGAAATCATCGTGAAGTCAACTATTACTTATCACAAATGCGTTCAGGACACAGGTGCTTCCACGCGTATCTCCATACATACAAACATTCCCCGATGTGCCCCGTCTGCATAGGAGTGAACGAAAGCGCGAAGCATGTATTTTTTAAATGCCCCCGTCTCAGCGAGATCCGTGATACGTGGGAGTCTGACTTGGGAAGGAACGTCGAACCTGGAAACCTGGTGGAAGTAATGCTGTGATCGCAGGCAGCCTGGGACGCAACGAGCAATTTCGCGGCAGAAATAATGAAGAAGCTCAGGAGAGAGGAACGCGAGTGCAAGGCTGCAGTATAGGTGAGAAATCTACTGAAAACCTCCTCTTCACACCCAAGATCTTAACGGGACAGGAAGATGTAGATTGGACGAAATACGTGAAAGGGCGAAAGCTGAGACCTCCCTCGCGAAGTAATACTTAACGGTGGTGACGCGAGGAGATGAAAAGTTAGAAAATATAAGTCTGACAGGAGTTTAGTCGGTATGGGACAAGGGTCCGAGCCCGACATACCCCAGTCGAAGGAGGAAATCGCTTATTCCCTCCTTCAAGTGGGGATGCGTAAATACATTCTCCGATAGACTATGAACAAAAAAAACAAGACACACAGCCACACAGACACACACACACATACACGTAAAGCTCATAGGCGTTTATATAATGTAACTACGGACAATTTTCAGATTTGTCGTTCCGTTTTTACTATACCGAATGTCGATCATTTAGAGGTAGTGAAGGAGGAGTTCTGTCTTGTATAGTGTAACGTGGTATTTTTGATTTTCGCCCGTTGGGCGGTTTCTGGGATTTCCAGACGAGAAGTCAAACCATTGGCGAGGCGAGAGTCATTTGATTTATTACTTCGAACTATTTTTATGAATTAATTTTTGTTTGTATCGAATCGTTGTCTGACCGCTCACCGGATCATGGTGGGCTTGAGACGGAATCATCGCGGGATGGAGTCCGAATCTTCGTGGGATACTTTGATAACTTCCCTTTGGGTCTCGGCTACTGTGGAGTACGAAACATTACGCCAGAATATTTTTTTGAATGGCCTCCCATAGGATTAAGTTCACCTGGAAGACCGAGTGGTGGCGCCAGAATGTGGAGTTGGAAGATTTGGAACTTAGGCGACAATCTCATCATCGGACTGGGAAATTCCAGACTGACTTTAGACGTTGAGGGAAATAGCGACCGAGGATGAAAATTATTTAGATTTTTTCTATTTAATCGACATTTGTTTTTTTTTTTAGAAATTCACGTTGCCAAATATTATCGTGCAGGCGTAAAATAATTGTGGAAGTTTTTGTTGGCTCTGATTCGGTACGATTTCAACGTTCAATCAGATCGGAGAGGCTGTCATAGCGGGCCAATCATTTGGTCGTCTGATTTCGGAGCATTGTCGCGTGAGTTTGTGATACCGACGACGATCACTTCTCGTTCGGATACCAGACACATTGCTGTGCGAATATTCGGTTTGTCTTGTAATGGCCGATTTTATTTTGGAAATTGTTGTCGAGAGACGAGGCTCTACTGAGGGCTGTTTCGGACATTTTGGGGAAGGCTTGAGATCTGATCTACCGTCATCAGGATTTAGTCGATTAGTGAGCGGTGGATTCATTTTGAAGTGTTAAAAAGTGTCTCACAAGGAGTGAGTTTGGCATTGGGAATTTTGATGGACACTTGGTCCGTGGTATTTGACGCCATTTCAGTTGTTATCTTATCAGGCCGTTGCTCACCCCTTGTTCGGCAGAGTCGTGGGTGACGAGTCCGATTTCTTTTGGTTAATTAAATTGTCCAGTAAATTTCAGTGATTCTAGTGTTTTTAATCATTGATTTGGTCAACTCTCGTTTCCCTATCGCCGTGTATTTAATATTGATTTTCGGGTATTAAGGCGAATTGTAATTCTCGAGGTTAGTGTTATTACCTCTCGAGATATTCTATTATTTTTCTCGGGCTCTGGAAGCCTAACTTCATCGCATTTAATTTTCGGCATAATCGTTCAGAGACCGTTGAATTATCGCAGTCATTGTGAGAGGGATTGTAGCGTTTTTCGGCGCTCGAGCTGTTGTCTTGTGCCAAGTGGTGACCTTTCGTCAGTTGCCGGCTGTGTTGTTTTCGTTTCTCCAGGCAATCCTCCTCTCAATAGCTTGTAGTGTCAGATTCTTATTCTCGCCGCTTTGGGTGGATACATTGATATCTCGGTGTAATAGTAGATTCCTGCACCGCGGTTACTTAGGACTCATTGGTATTTTTGCTAGTTAACTTCCCGATCTATCGGGTAGTTATTGTAATCACCCTGAAAATGAATCATTAGTTTTTTGCGATTTGTCTACGTTTCTCGGTGTCTAAAACCCTTTTGAACACTTCTAAGACAGGTTGTCTGTATGTGCCGCTTCTCATCCTCGGTCAATTCGTCCAGGAAGTCAGTGAAATCGTCTAAAGGGAGGCTCGGTGGGGCATAAAGGTGTAGAAGTAAATTCCGCCAACCCTAGCCTTCACGAACCCATTATGTATACCCTCGCCGGTGATACTTTGAAATGGCTGATTTCTACAAGCCCAGATTACAGCCTTCTTGCTGGCGTCAGTAATCCAGGATTGGGTGCCAAGATGTCGGTATGGCTCCGAGATCATAACCAGGTCACCCTTAGGTCTCGCACCGTTTGCATGAGCAGGTCGTGTGCGGCCTCGCAATGGTTGAGGTTGAGCTGTAGCACCTTCATCGTCGTTTGTTGTTTAATTTCTCTAGCGCCTCCTGATAAACTGGGCACCTGGTACTGCCAGCAATATGAGTGCAGTTCTTCATGTTCCCTTTCTCAGTGCACAGAGCACAATTGGGTTCCTTTTGGCAGGCAGCAACGGTGTGGCCCGGCTCAGCAAATTTGATGCAGATCTTGGACCGATCGACCCCATTCTTGCATTTGGTGGCGAGATGGCCATAGTGCCAGCACTTGAAGCACTTTAATGGCCTCTCCACTTTTCTCACTCCGCAATTGACCCAGCCTATTTTAATCTTCCCGTGGTCCCCCAGGATCTTCTTCGCTGTCGTAGCTGTGAGTCTCACTGAGGCAGTCTGGGTACCTCCATAAGCTTTACGAAGGGCCTTGATCGTATCCGCTTGGATCGCGTTTTCCTCCCCAGCTGCTACTTTTAGGGCTTCGATGACCTCCTCCTTCGATGTAGTTTCGTTAAGATCTTTGATCTCGAGATCTTCTTGTGGCCCTTTACTCAGCACCTCAGCCTCATCTCCAAGGAGATTGACGATGGCCGTATGCAGCTTAGGTGCTCCGTCAGTCGTCTTTCTGCTAAGGATGGTCAGCATATCCCCGGTTGCTGTACGGCGGATCTTATAGACACAACCGACAGCGTCCTCGGAAGGAGCATCCTTCTGCACCCGACGAAGTATATCGGAGTACTTTTCCTTGTCCTTGGGGCGTATAATCAGCGCTTCAGGTCGCATCACTGATTTCCGAGTAGCCCTCTCCTGTTTCTTTTTTTCCTTCATCTTTCTGGGAGGCAGCTGTGGATGGAGCTGTCCGGCCTGCCTCTTTTTCTCCTTCTTCGTCTTCACCTGCGTCCATTCAGGCTTAGCAGGTGGATCGGAAGTTACCGCCGTCTGCGGGGCTGCCTTGCTGGTCAGATTCTGTTGCTTCAGCTTCTTCAAAGTTTGAGCTTCTGCCGCAGGTGAGCCTTTCGAGCGCTTTCTCCGCACTGCCTTGCGGACATCTCGGGCCGACTGCATGGTATTCGGATCCTCCAAATCGGAGTCCTTTGCCGTCGTTTCGAAGTCCGTCTGTAAACGCAACGTGGGTGGTGCTGGTGAACTTTGCACGGGATTGATAAAGGAGGGTCGTGCTTTGGTGCGTGCCTCCTCCAAACTTTTGAGACGTTTGAATGCGCCGCCGATAGTTGCCCACCTTGCATTTGATCTCCTTGTGGACATTTACCCTGGGCTGGACATACTCATGAAGTTCTGCGATGAGTTTTTCAAGTCGTGCCCATGTATTGCAGCATTCTGTCTCCTGTTTAGTCTGCGACTCATCTCTCCTTGTGGCATCCGAGGCCAAGGAGTCCATCTTTAATGAATGTGATGATTGGCTCCTCCCATAATCCATGGAGTCGGCATTAGAACTGATGGCGGGATTCTCTTTGCTAAGGCTACCCGCATGAGAACTTTCAATTTTGTCATCACTCATCATTTTTGCACTAGCTGTTATCGGGAGCCTGACCCGGGGGTGTTATAGGGAGCCAACCCTGCACACCTCTTTTAGAGTTGGGTTTCTCGGAAGGCGTTGTTTCGCGCCGACGTATTTTATTTAGTCGATACACTATATTCTGAACGGTAATTCAGAATATCGAGCATTCCCCCATCCACCACCTGGGGATGCGCCACGTTGCAGGACCTTCCAGCCTGCGAAAACTCTCGGAGGGTAAAGACGTTCCTCGCCGAAAGGATCCGTGGTGTGTTTTTTTTTCTGGTTCATGATTGGAAAAATGCTTTTTACGCATTAACACACTCCAGACTGATGGTATGAAAAGTGTAGTGTCGGAATCAGTCAGGTCGAGATGGTAGCGACCACGCGCACCACGGTTTCCATGTATTTGCTGGCGAATGTGCAACCCCTACGGACTAAAAAACCAAACATGACACGAGTAATCTTTGACCTTTTCTTCCCCTCGCGGCACCACCGTTAGGTATTACTTCACGAGGGAGGTCTCAGCTGTTTGCTCTTCCTCTTTTCAACCTAATGTACGTCCTCTTAGCCTACTAAGATGTTGGGTGTAAGTAGGAGGTTCCAGTAGGTTCTCCATCTGTGTTGCAGCCTGAGCTCTTTTATGACTTCAGCCGCAAAGTGACTCGTTGTGTCGCAAGCTGCCTGCGATGATAGTAAAAGATCTATCAGGTTTTCAGGCAGTACTTCCATCCTCAGTGCAGACATCCAGATACGCCTGGTCTCGCTGAAATGCGGGCATGCGAAGAACACATGCTTCGCATCTTCATCCACTTCTGGGCAAGTTGGACATTTCGAGGAATCTTCATGTTTGAATTTATGAAGATACGCTCTAAAGCATCCGTACCCCGAAAGCATCTGCGTCAGGTAGTAGCTCACGTCTCCGTGGCTGCGATTCAGCCAGACATCCACCTTTGGAATCAGACGGTAAGTCCATCTCCCCTTGGTGGAGTGGTCCCACTTCAGCTGCCATCGCCTCAGGCTGTTTCACCTCTCTTCAGACGTCAACTCCTCGGGACTCAACGCTTCGGATCTTCTACGCGTATACTGAGCTTTCCACTCCTCAGCCAGAATTTCTATCAACAACAGTCCCGCGATGACACACGCTGCGTCTTCAGAAACCGTCAAGTATGCACTTGCGACTCTAGGGGCACTGAGTCGATCGACTGGTGCGATCTTACGTCGCGTTTCCTCCAGCTGGAGTACATCCCCCCAAATGGGAATAGCATACGTGAGCACCGAAGTTATCACTGAAGACAACAGTGCTCTTCTTCTTTGCTTGGGTCCCCCGATGTTGGGCATGAGACGTGATAAGGTGGATCTAACGCTCGACGCCTTGGCACTCACTTGTTCCGCTTGTTGCTTGAAGTTGAGTAGTTCATCTATCATCACCCCCAGGTATCGAATAAACGGCTGTGAGGTAATTTCACAAGACCCGACTTGGAGAGTGATGGTCTCGATTTTTTTCCTGCTAATGATCAATACGGCTTCTGTTTTGTGCTCCGCAAGGTTTAGGCCTACTGAGTCCATCCAGTTCCGAATAGTCTCAAAAGTTGTATTGAACACGTGGTTTATCTGCTCCAAGTATTTTCCAACGATGACTACGGCCACATCATCTGCAAATGCAACGAGCTTAGTCCCTCGTGGCAGTTTCAGCTTCAGCAGCCCATCGTACATAATGTTCCATAGTAGAGGACCCAGCACTGAGCCTTGAGGTACTCCCCCTGTAACTTCATACTGCTTGGGGCCACACTCCGTGTCATACTTCCGGTGAAATAGCTGTCAACCATTCTCTGCAAGTATCCAGGTACGTTCAGCTCTACAAGAACCTTCATAATGCAGTCCCACCTGGTTGAGTTGAAGGCATTCTTGATGTCCAGTGTTACTACTAAGCAGTACTCCTTCGTGCCATTGAGCCATCTTTCCCCTGCAATCGCTTTCCTGGTGGTGCCGATGACAAGGTTGATGGCATCCAGGGTTGATCGACCTTTCCGAAAACCATATTGATTCCCGGCTAGTAGAGGTTTAACCGCGGCTTCTATCCTTTGGTGAACGATACGCTCGAGGATCTTGCCAGCAGTATCGAGCATGCAAAGGGGACGATATGATGAAGGGTCGTCTGGCGGTTTGTTCCCTTTTGGGAGCAATACTAACCTCTGCTGCTTCCACGTGGCTGGGAAGGTGCCCTCTCTGAGGCATTCGTTGTACACTTCCAGGAACAGCTCCGGCATCGTGTGAATAGCTGACTTCAAAGAGATATTTGGGATTCCATCTAGGCAAGGAGCTTTAGTGTTACCCTCTCTGTTGCAGGCTTCCATCAGCTCTTCCTTGGTGATTCGTGGAGCCATCGTCCCATCTTGCTTGCCAGTATGGTGTAGTTCTGGTTGTTGTGGGAACAGCACTGCGATAATTTTCTCCAACAGATCAGGGCACATTGGTGACGGCATTGGTTGACTTTTTAGGTGCGTCATCACCACCTTGTACGGTCTGCCCCATGGGTCATCTCCTACCTCAGCAAGCAGCTCACTCCAAGATTGCTTCTTACTGCACTTGATTGCTTTGCTGAGTTTACGACGTGCCTTCTTATGCCTCCTTCGCAATTCTTCATAGTTTGGCTTCTTCCGGCCACGCTGTTCCAATCTTCTGACTCTTTACACTCCTTCCGTAGGATGGCAATAGTGTCATTCCACCAATATACCGCTGGATGCTGGTTTGTGGACCGATTTTTGGTCATGGTGGCATCGCATGCTTCTGTCACTTTCTTCATGATATTGTGTGCTTTTTCAGTGGCCTTATTGCCGCTGAACGGGTGATTTTCCAATGCTGCCGAAAAAGTGCTCGAATTGAAGGTGCTCACTCTCCAGCCAATGCGGTTGATCTTTTTAGGCCTTAAGGCGGCTCTCTGATGAGTACGTCTCCCAGATTATCGCACGATGATCGCTGGCAGTGTAGATATCAGCTACTCTCCATGAGTAGTTCCTTTTTGCAAGGTTGCTACTCACGAAGGTAAGATCCACAATTGAGCTCTTCTCTCCTTTCACGAAAGTCGGTTCATCGCCAGTATTCAGCAGAACCACGTCTAACGATGATATAGCTTCTAGCAAAGCTTGTCCTCTGGCGTTTGTCCTCTTACTTCCCCAATCAACTGCCCAGGCGTTGAAGTCCCCGGCTGTGGCCACAGGAAAGTGCTGCTTCGCATCCTCGGTCAGTCTATCTAGGAAGTCCGTCAACTCATCAAAAGAAAGATTTGGCGGGGCGTAACAGCTGTAGAAATGAATTCCATCAACCTTGGCCTTTTTGAAGCCCTCTTGTGCGTTATCTCCTGTGATGTTCTGGAAAGAACGATCCCCACAAGCCCAGATTACCGCCTTCCCACTGGCGTCATTAATCCAGGCTTGAGTGCCAAGATGTCGATATGGCTCCGAGATCATCACAAGGTCAAGTTTCAGCTCCCGCACCGCTTGCGTGAGCAGATCATGTGCGTCCTCACAGTGATTGAGGTTGAGCTGTAACACCTTGCACTTCCCCCTCCTATGATCGCCTTTTGCTGGTGAGCTTCTGGAGTGCCTCCTTGTACACTGGGCATCTACTGCTACCAGCGACATGAGCACAATTCTTCGTTTTGCCAGTTTCAGTGCAGAGGGCACACCGTGGATCCTTCTGACACTCCTTTGCTTTGTGGCCATCTTCTCCGCACTTCGTGCAGAGTTTTGACCGATCAATTCCACTGCACTTAGTGGCGAGATGTCCGTACTGCCAGCACTTAAAGCACTTGACCGGCCTCTGGACTTTACGGATGCGGCAGTTCACTCAGCTGATCTTGATCTTCCCGTAATCATCCTCTCCCAAGATTTTCTGCGACATGGCTGCCGTGAGCGTTAGTAGAGCAGTTTGGGTTCCCCCATATGCTCTACGCATGGATTGGATGGCTTCAGGAACTATTTGGTGCTCCTCAGCTGCTACTCTCCGTAGAGCTTCGAGGACGTCCTCTCTGGATATATCCTCATCAAGATCCTTGATTTCTAGGTCTTCCCGTGGCTCTTTACTTAGCCTCATTTCCGAGGAGGTTGGCAATGGCTGTTCGCAACTGGGAGGCGTTCTCCGTCTTCTTCCTACCCAGGACAATCAGCATGTCTCCATTAACCGTGCGTCTGATCTTGTCAACGCAGTCGCTAGCCTTATCACAGGCGCTATCCTTCTTCACTCGCCTCAGGATGTCTGAGTACATCTCTTTGCTCTTCGGACGAATGATCAGCGCTTCCGGCCTGGTCGAAGGCTTCTTCTGAGCATTCCTTTTGCCCGGGTTTCCCCGTAGCAACTCCGGAGCCCGCTTTTCTTTCTTCTTTCGATGCTTCCACTTCTGATAGCCCTGGTCCTGGTCAGTCACACGCATGGCTGTGCCCTTAGCTGCTACCTCTCTGGTGGAAGGCATGCCTTTGTTCTTCATGGTCTCACGACATGGCTCCGAGATCCGCTTTGGTGTAGTTGAAGTCTTGTCCTGTTTGGCCCTCTTCAGCGAATCGGAATGCGTCCCCGGCGATTCTCGATTCCTCTTCTTCTGAACTGTAGTGTTCCGACGCTCCTGGTCTTCCAACCGCTCTCCAATTTCAGCACTTTTCAATGCTGGTTTGTCGGATTTTACTTCCTTCGGTGGCACTTGTTCTGGCAAACTTTCATGCATTGATCTAAGTCGCTTTGCAGAAGTCTGGAC